GAGGGAGGGAGGGGTAGGGAGGGAGGGAGGGGTAGGGAGGGAAGGAGGGAGGAGGAGGAGGGGAGGAGGGAGGGAGGGAGGGAAGGGGAAAGGGGGAGGGAGGGAGGGAGGGGTAGGGAGGGAGGGAGGGGAAGGAGGGAGGAGGAGGGAAGGGGAAAGGGGGAGGGAGGGAGGGACGGGAAGGGGGGGTAGGGAGGGAAGGAGGGAGGGAGGGAAGGGGAAAGGGGGAGGGAGGGAGGGGTAGGGAGGGAGGGAGGAGAGGGAGGGAGGGAAGGGGAAAGGACAAGAGGAAGAGATTGACGAGAGAGAGTAAGGGAGGAGGAGGTAGGGAGGAAGGAGAGGAATGGGGAAGGGGGAAGGAAGACGGAAGGGAGGGAGGAGAGGAAAGGAAGGGAAGGGAGGGGAGGGGGAAGTATAGCAGTGAAACCATGAATACAATAAACAAAAAAACAACATAATGAGACAACGAATTATCATAAAAAATACATAAATGAAGAAATGAAAAAAATAAGAAAAAAGAACATAAAACAAATAGAACCCCCCCCAAAAAAAAAAAAAAAAAAAATCAAAACAGATACTCATAGAAAACGACAAAACAAAATTAGGTAGGGATCGACGAGCAGAAAATAAAAAATAAAAAATAAAACAAAAGAAAGAAAGAAAGAAAAGAGAGAGAAAAAAAATGGACCGAAATAACAAAAGAAACAATAAAGAAGGAGGGAGAAGGAAGGAGGACGGTAATAAAAAAGGGTAAATTGTGTTTGCGTGCCGGCTAGGCTGAGGTTATTAGAGAAGCGGGGGGAGGGAGGGAGGGAGGGAGGGAGGGGTAGGGAGGGAGGGAGGGGAAGGGGGTAGGGAGGGAGGGAAGGGGAAAGGGGGAGGAAGGGGAGTGAAGGGGGTAGGGAGGGAAGGAGGGAGGGAGGGAGGGGGTAGGTAGAGAGGGGAGGGGAAGGGGGTAGGGAGGGAAGGAAGGAGGGAGGGAGAGGGAGGGAGGAGAGGGAGGGGAAGGGGGTAGGGAGGGAGGGAGGGGAAGGGGGGAGGGAGGGAGGGAAGGGGAAAGGGAAGGGGGTAGGGAGTGAAGGGGGTAGGGAGGGAAGGAGGGAGGGAGGGAGGGGGTAGGGAGGGGAAGGAAGTAGGGAGGGAGGGAGGGAGGGAGAGGGAAGGGGAAGGACAAGAGGGAAGAGATTGACGAGAGAGAGGAAGGGAGGAGGAGGTAGGGAAGAAGGAGAGGGAATGGGGAAGGGGGAAGGAAGGGAGGAGAGGAAAGGGAAGGGAAAGGAAAGAGAAGGGAAGGGAAGGCAAGGAAGGGAAGGGAAGGGAGGGGAGGGGGAAGTATAGCAGTGAAACCATGAATACAATAAACAAAAAAACAACATAATGAGACAACGAATTATCATAAAAAAATACGTAAATGAAGAAATGAAAAAAAAGGAAAAAGAACATAAAACAAATAGAACCAAAAAAAAAAAAAAATAAAATCAAGGAAGGAGGAAGAGAAAGGGAAAGAAACCAATATATATATATATATTTTTTTTTTTACTATCCATCTCCCCTCTTTTTTTATCGTGGAAATGAAAAGGTTATATAGCCTGAAATTGACCTGCGGTTAAAGGGATTTTTTAATGTTAGGTGAGGGGAAATTTTGGCCTTTTTTTTATTTTCGTCGTTCGAAATGGTGAGGAAGGGGAGGGGGAGGGGGGAATGGGGGAGGGGGAGGGGGAAAAGGAGAGGGGAAGGAGGAAGGAGGAAGGGGGAGGGGGAAATGGAGGAGGGAGGAGGGAGGAGGGAGGAGTGAGGGTGAGGGTGAGGGTGAGGGTGAAGAGATTGAAGGAAGAAAAAAAATGTAATAGGTATATGATGAGGATTATTGGGAGGAGGAGGAAGAAGAAGAAGAAGAAGAAGAAGAAGAAGAAGAAGAAGAAGAAGAAGAAGAAGAAGAAGAAGAAGAGAAGAAGAAGAAGAAGAAGAAGAAGAAGAAGAAGAAGAAGAAGGAGGAAAAATCATTAAAAAAAAAGCTTGTGTATGTATGTATGTACGTCTATACGTATGTACGTACGTAATACGCACGGGGTCGCGAGGGATCTGGCAACCGCGCGTCCCCGAAGGCGTCGATCGCGTCCCCGGTGGCAATCGCGAACCCATTTGCGGTTGCCGGGGCTGGTTGCCGGCGATAAAGGGGGGTAGGGGGTAGGGGGGAAGAGGGGGGAGGCTTGTGGTTCCGCAAAGATGGGTAATGGCTTTTTTTTGGGGGGGGAAGGGGGGGAGGTGAGTGACAATGAGATGGTATTTTTTTCCTCTTCTTATTCTTATTCTTATTATTATTATTATTTTTTTATTATTATTGTTATTATTATTATCATTATTGTTATCGTTACAATAATAATAATGATAATAATAATAATAATAATAATGATGATAATAACAGTAATAATATGTTTTATTATTATAGTTATTAGCATAATAATTCTTATCATTGTATTACTTATTTTGCTGTCGTTGTTATTATTTTTATTTATTTATTCTTCGTAGTTTTTTTTCCTTTTGATGTAGTCATGCGAGTGTCATCGATTGCCAAAACATAGCTGTGTCATGTATATATGTGGAGGGGGGAGGGGGGGTATCTTGACTTTAATAGTTTATGAAGAAAACTATAACTATAACGTTCCGCATGAGTGAGTGGAACTGCTGCAGAACGCCATAAAAATAAAGTCACCATCACCATTCTTCATAATCATCACCATCATTAGTCATCACCACCACGATAAGCATTCAGCACACCAGCAGAAGAGAAGAAGAAGAAGAGAAGAAGAAGAAGAAGAGAAGAAGAAGAAGAAGAAGAAGAGAAGAAGAAGAAGAAGAGAAGAAGGAGGAAAAATCATTAAAAAAAAAAGCTTGTGTATGTATGTATGTATGTATGTATGTATGTATGTATGTATGTATGTATGTATGTATGTATGTATGTATGTATGTATGTATGTATGTATGTATGTATGTATGTATGTATGTATGTATGTATGTATGTATGTATGTATGTATGTATGTATGTATGTATGTATGTATGTATGTATGTATGTATGTATGTATGTATGTATGTATGTATGTATGTATGTATGTATGTATGTATGTATGTATGTATGTATGTATGTATGTATGTATGTATGTATGTATGTATGTATGTATGTATGTATGTATGTATGTATGTATGTATGTATGTATGTATGTATGTATGTATGTATGTATGTATGTATGTATGTATGTATGTATGTATGTATGTATGTATGTATGTATGTATGTATGTATGTATGTATGTATGTATGTATGTATGTATGTATGTATGTATGTATGTATGTATGTATGTATGTATGTATGTATGTATGTATGTATGTATGTATGTATGTATGTATGTATGTATGTATGTATGTATGTATGTATGTATGTATGTATGTATGTATGTATGTATGTATGTATGTATGTATGTATGTATGTATGTATGTATGTATGTATGTATGTATGTATGTATGTATGTATGTATGTATGTATGTATGTATGTATGTATGTATGTATGTATGTATGTATGTATGTATGTATGTATGTATGTATGTATGTATGTATGTATGTATGTATGTATGTATGTATGTATGTATGTATGTATGTATGTATGTATGTATGTATGTATGTATGTATGTATGTATGTATGTATGTATGTATGTATGTATGTATGTATGTATGTATGTATGTATGTATGTATGTATGTATGTGTGTGTGTGTGTGTGTATGAATATATGTATGTATGCATGTATGTATATATGGATGTATGTATGCATGTATGTATGTACGTGCGTGTGTATGTGTGTCTGTGTATGTATGTATGTATGTACGTGCTTATGTATGTGCGTGTGTGTTTATTTAGGCGAATGCAAAATAGGAAGAAAATATAATGTAAGTTCGATCATTCTGCTGGACTTCTCCCCCGAGTAATTTCTCTTCCCGGTTCATGTTTATGTCACGTCACTCTTTTGTCATGTCGAGCGTCTCTCTTTCCTGGTGATGGTGTCTTGCGCGGTCATGCCGTTCGGGAATATGATGAACATGAGTATAATGTCTCGTGTAGTCATTTCACTCATTGTCATGTTACCTTGTCATGTTACCGCTCATGTTACCTTGTCATGTTACCTTGTCATGTTCCGCTTGCCTCGTTTATGTTGTACAGCTTTTGTTCACTTTCTCTTATTATGCTGGGTATGTGGCTTATGTGGTATTTTTTATTTTATTTTCTTGTTCATCATGTTGTGTCTTTGGCTCTCCTAACGTGCGCTTCTCCCCCGCAGTACGACGGGACGCAGGAGATCCTGTTGGAGCCGGAGATCCACCGCAACTGCAGCGCGGGCGGCGGCCCCGAGTACCGGTGGCGCGTGCTGGACGAGGGCGGCCACGAGGCTCTGTTCACCAACTACCACGCCTTCTTCTCGCCCACGCTCGTCATCCACCCCTTCTACGACAGCCACTGGACGAAGCTCCTCGCGCCCTCCGTCGAGAAGGCGTCGGACCTTGTCTCCCTGCAGGCGCACTCCCTCAGCCCCTTCGCCGTCCTGGCCGACGGGACGTACACCGCCGAGCTCACCATCGCCGAGAATGACACGATCGTCAGCGCGTCGGTCAACACCACCTTCTCCGTGGTGGCCATCCGGCTCAAGTGAGTGCCCAGACTGCGATTTCTATCTCGAAGTCGCTTCTCTTTGGTGTTTTGTCGTTTTTTTCCCCCCTTGCCCTTTACTGTGTCCCCCTCTTTCATGTATACATACGTACATAGGTATTTTCTTATTTGTTTGCATATATTGTACAGTTTTTTCCCCCGTTATATGTTGACGGCGACGCCGACTTCACCTGACGGCGCGGTTCCCTAACGTCCGCCTGTTGTGCCCCGCAGAGTGGTGTTCACGGACGGGTCGGCGCGAGAGGTGGACGCCCGCTCCAACATCACGCTGCAGGTGGAGGTGACGTCGCCCACGCCCGACTACGACATCAAGTGGGGCTGCCACCTGCTCTACAACGCCAGCGAAGGCTGCTTCCCCGAGGCCGACCCCTGGAGCAAGTACACCAACACCTCCGACCACGCCGACACCGTCTTCGACATCCTGCACCGCTGGTGGGAAATGATCCACGGCGGCGGCGACCGCGGCGCCGGCGACGGAGGGCCCGCCGACGCAGGGCCGTCCAGGGGCGGGCCAGGCGGCGCGCGCGTGTCCCCCGACCAGGGCGTCATCAGGCGCTACTACCGATTCCAGCAGACGATCACCTTCCCGGCGTCCGACCTGCGGCTGGACCCCGCCGACCCCTCCTCCCGCAGGTTCCTCTTCAACGTGACCGTGTCGTACCTCCTGCGGCAGGCCACGGCCGAGCAGCTGATCACCGTCGCCTTCGGGAGGGACAAGTAAGTGGGAGGAACGCGCCCTTGGTCTCGTCGCCCAGCTGGAGGCTGCTTCCCTGCCTCTGGTTTTTCTCTTACTCTCCTCTGGTTCTCTTTTTTCCCTTCCTATTCTGCCCCTCCCCCCCTCTGTTTTCTTACGTCCTTCTGTTCTCCATCTTTCTTTCCTGTAATATATTCTTCCTCTTCCAGTTCTCTCCCATTCCTGTATTTCCTTCCTCTTCTTTTCTTCCTTTCTCTCCCTCCCTCTCCCCACTCCCTCTCACTAACCATCTCCCTGCTACCCTAACCCCCTCTCATCCCCGTCCCCTTCCCCCCCCTCCCCCCTCCCCCTTTCCTCCCCTCCCCCTCCCCCCCTTCCTCAGCTCCCATCCCTCTTCCCCCCCTCACACACACACACACCACACACACACACACACACACACACACACACACACACACACACACACACACACACACACACACACACACACACAAACGCCCGGAGTCGCGACGGGTTAGCGGCGCGCGCGGAGTCGTCGTCGTCGTCCCCCCTCCCCACCCCCCCCGCGCGGCGCTCTGTCACTGCAGCAACCAGAGGAAGGGAAGAAAGGAAAGAGGAAGGGAAGAAGGGAAAGAGGAAGGGAAAGAGGAAGGGAAGAAGGGAAAGGGAAGGGAAGAAGGGAAAGAGGAAGGGAAGAAGGGAAAGAGGAAGGGAAGAAGGGAAAGAGGAAGGGAAGAAGGGAAAGGGAAGGGAAGAAGGGAAAGAGGAAGGGAAAGAGGAAGGGAAGAAGGAAAGAGGAAGGGAAGAAGGGAAAGGGAAGGGAAGAAGGGAAAGAGGAAGGGAAGAAAGGAAAGAGGAAGGGAAAGAGGAAGGGAAAGAGGAAGGGAAAGAGGAAGGGAAAGAGGAAGGGAAGAAGGGAAAGAGGAAGGGAAGAAGGGAAAGAGGAAGGGAAGAAAGGAAAGAGGAAGGGAAAGAGGAAGGGAAGAAAGGAAAGAGGAAGGGAAAGAGGAAGGGAAGAAGGGAAAGAGGAAGGGAAAGAGGAAGGGAAGAAGGAAAGAGGAAGGGAAGAAGGGAAAGAGGAAGGGAAGAAGGGAAAGAGGAAGGGAAGAAGGGAAAGGGAAGGGAAGAAGGGAAAGAGGAAGGGAAGAAGGAAAGAGGAAGGGAAGAAGGAAAGAGGAAGGGAAGAAGGGAAAGAGGAAGGGAAAGAGGAAGGGAAGAAGGGAAAGGGAAGGGAAGAAGGGAAAGGGAAGGGAAGAAGGGAAAGGGAAGGGAAGAAGGGAAAGAGGAAGGGAAAGAGGAAGGGAAAGAGGAAGGGAAAGAGGAAGGGAAGAAGGGAAAGAGGAAGGGAAGAAGGGAAAGAGGAAGGGAAGAAGGGAAAGGGAAGGGAAGAAGGAAAGAGGAAGGGAAAGAGGAAGGGAAGAAAGGAAAGAGGAAGGGAAAGAGGAAGGGAAGAAGGGAAAGAGGAAAGGAAGAAGGGAAAGAGGAAGGGAAAGAGGAAGGGAAGAAAGGAAAGAGGAAGGGAAGAAGGGAAAGAGGAAGGGAAGAAGGGAAAGAGGAAGGGAAGAAAGGAAAGAGGAAGGGAAGAAGGGAAAGAGGAAGGGAAGAAGGGAAAGAGGAAGGGAAGAAGGGAAAGAAGAAGGGAAGAAAGGAAAGAGGAAGGGAAGAAGGGAAAGGGAAGAGAAGGGGAAGGGAAGGGAAGAACGGGAAAAAAAAAGAAAAAAAGCAAGGACAGAGGAAGAGAGGAAAGAAAAAAGGGAAGGGAAGGGAAACGGAAGAGAGAACGGAGAAGAGGGTCGTTTGGGGAGGAGGGGGAGGGGGGGAGGGGAGGAGGAAGGGGGAGAGGGCTTGATGGTAATAAGAAATGCAAAGGGAGAAAATGCGGGAAGGAAACTAGAGAGGGAAACGAGACTATCCTCCCTTAATTCCTCGCCCTATCTCTTCCCTCCCCTCCCCCCCCCCTCCCCCCTCCTCTTTCCCCTCCCTCTCCCTCTCCCCTCCTGTCTCCTCCCTCCTTTCTCCCCCTCCTCTCCCATCTCCCTATCTCCTTTCCTCCCCCTGTCTCCTCTCCTCTCCCCCTCCCTCCCACCACCACCCCCCTCTCGTCTTCCCCCTCCCCCCTATCAGCCCAGGGCAGTAATCCAACAATCTTGCCAGTTCCATGAATACATTATCAGTGGTCGTCCTTCTCTCTCCCTTCCACCTCTCCCCTCCTCTCCCCTCCTCCCCCCTCTTCCTCTCCCCTCCTCTCTCTTCCTCTCTCCTCCTCTCTCCTCCACTCTCCTCCTCTCTCCTCCTCTCTCCTCCTTCTCTCCCCTCCTCCTCTCTCCTACATCTCTCACTCCTTCTCTCACCTCCTCTCCCCTCTTTCTCTCCCCTCCTCTCCTCCTCTCTCTCCCCCCTCTCTCCCCCTTCTCTCTCCTCCTCTCTCCCCCATCACTCACCTCCTCCTCCCCCTCCTTCTCTCCCCTCCTCTCCCCCTACCCCAATTCCCCTTTCCGCTCCCCTCTCTATCGTTTAGGCCTTCATCCCTTTGTTCCTTCTCGTTACGTCTCTTATCTCGTCCCTTTCCCCTCTTTTCCCCTCTTCTTTTCCCCTTCTTCCTCTTTTCCCCTTTTTCCTCTTTTTCCCTTTTTCCTCCTCTCCCTCTTCCCCCCTTAACTCATTTCTTCCCATTTCTCCTTTCCCATTTCCTCCTCTCCCTCTTCCCCCCTTAACTCATTTCTTCCCATTTCTCCTTTCCCTTTTCCTCCTCTCCCTCTTCTCCCCTGATCTCATTTCTTCCATTTTCTCCTTTTCCCCTTTCCCCCTTTTCCCCTTTCCCTTTTTCCCTTTTCCCCTTTTTGGCCTCTTTCCCCTTTCCCCCTTTCCTCTTTTTCCCCTTTCCCTTTTCCCCTTTTTTCCCCTTTCCCTTTTTCCCTTTTCTCCTTTTCCCCTTTTTGGCCTCTTTCCCCTTTCCCCCTTTTCCCCTTTCCTCTTTTCCCCCTTTCCCTTTTCCCCTTTTTCCCCTTTCCCTTTTTTCCCTTTCCCCCTTTCCCCCTTTCCCCCTTTCCTCTTTTCCCCCTTTCCCTTTTCCCCTTTTTCCCCTTTCCCTTTTCCCCTTTTCCCCTTTTTAGCCTCTTTCCCCTATTTTCCCCTCCTTCTTTTTTTATATTCGGGAAGGTCTTATTGATCCCTAAGTTATTGGGTCTTTTACGCGGGTTGGTTAGCTGTTTGTGATCTTTCTCTTTCTTTCTTTCTTTCTTTCTTTCTTTCTTTCTCTCTTTCTTTCTCTCTTTCTCTCATTCTCTCTTTCTCTATCTCTTTCTCTCTATCTCTTTATCTCTATCTATCTCTATTTCTATCTCTATCTCACTTTCTCTCTCTCTCTCTCTCTCTCTCTCTCTCTCTCTCTCTCTCTCTCTCTCTCTCTCTCTCTCTCTCTCTCTCTCTCTCTCTCTCTCTCTCTCTCTCTCTCTCTCTCTCTCTCTCTCTCTCTCTCTCTCTCTCTTTCTCTCTCTCTCTCATGGTTGTCTTTTTGTAGATATCCTCACATGTACGTACGTGTGCACGTGTGTATGTGTATGTACGATGAGAGAGAAACTTAAAGGCCGGAAATGGGGTCATAGCATGGGGAAGGGGGGGAGGGGGGGCAAGGGGGAGCAGGGGGGGGCAGGAGAATTGTATTAGTATTATTTTTGTGATTATATATATTAGATCCGCCCTCGTGACTTGGGAAGAGAGAGATCAATGTAATAATTCGAGATGGAGGGGATGGGCAGGTGGGGGGGGGGGGGTAGGAAGCTGGTTTGAGGGCAGATTCTCTCTCTCTCTCTCTCTCTCTCTCTCTCTCTCTCTCTCTCTCTCTCTCTCTCTCTCTCTCTCTCTCTCTCTCTCTCTCTCTCTCTCCCTCCCTGTGTGTGTGTGTGTGTGTCTGTGTGTGTGTATTATACATATATACGTACAGACCTTAGCAATAGATAAACGTGTTATATACACAATTTGTTTTTACTTTTCGTAACACCTGCCTCCCAATTACATGTGTGTAACACTTCTCTCGCGTCCGTTGCAGCTTCGGGATACGGATCAACCTGAGCTCGCAGATCCCCTTCGGCGCCTACCGCAGGCTGGTGTTCGAGAGCGAGTGCCGCACGTGCACCGCGGAGGAGCTTCAGGACATGAAGTACAAGTGGAACCTCCAGATGATGACTTCCAGCAGCTTCTTCGCCTACTCGCCCCCCCCGCCCGTCGCCGAGGTGGAGGAGAACCTCTGGGAGGCGCTGCGGCAGGGGCGGCCGCCGGACACGTTCGTCCCGCGGCCCCGAGACTACCTGAGGGTGTACAACAAGACCGACCTGTTGCTGCCGCGCGACAGGGCTCGGGGCTCGCGTCCCGCCTTCCCGCCCCCGGAGGCCGAGGGCATCAGCGCCAGCGACCTCAAGAAGTTCCCCGCGCCCCTCTCGACCGACCTCCTCGCCCGCGCCCGCCGGATTTTCCGGGAGGATGGTAGCGTTGACCGCGCCCTCTGGAGGACTCTGAGGCTCGATCTGAGGAGCGAGCTGTGGAAGGACCCGGCGTGGCAGCAGAGCGAGGAAGGGCGGCGCAAACGGGACGCCCAAATGGACGGAGGCCACGAGTTCGGCAGCGGACGTCACGCGCCGCCGCCTGCGGCGCAGCAGGACTTGGTACAAAAGTCGCGTTCCCGTCGTGCAGTTTACCCGACGGAGCAAGAACGACGTCGGGCGGAGGTGCGTCCCGCCGTCGACTCCGAGGAGGGGAAGGGGGCCAGGTCGGCCAAGTCCGTGGGCGACTCCTCCCCCAGTAGGAACGCCCCTCTGTACCCTCGGCAGATTACCACTCGGCAGCCCCTGCCACTCGAGGATGAAGGGCATGGAGGCCCGAAGTCACCTGGCGGCCATGAAGGCAGACCGGGACTGAGAGGAGGAGGCGACCGAGGCCGTGACGGGGACGGGGAGCAGGAGACGAGAGACTACGACGCCCTCGCGGACGGAGGGATGCACGCAGGGCCGCGAGAGCACGCGGAAGCCGCCCCGGGGACTGGTGGCAAGACTGCAGGTGGCGCTCGCACGAAGCTAGAAGTTCTGCCGGAGGAGGAGGCGGGAGGAGAAAGCAGCGAGCACTTTGTCGAGGAGGAGGGTCATGAAACGGGAGAGGATGCCGGCGGCGGAGGCGGCGCCGCGACAGAGCGAATTAATGGCCGTGAGCACCAAGGGCGTGACGCGCTTGACACCGGAAGTACAAGACGCCGGAAAAACTTGTTCGAGACGAATTTGGTGCGCGACGAATCTGAAGTCAGAGTCAGTAGTCTCTCAAGCGCGTCTCCGGACGACGATGACGAGGGTGAGAATGCCTCGGGGAACTCCGGTCCGAAGGAGACGACTGGCGCGGCGGTGACCCCAGACGCCGTCACCGGCGGGGGGGTCACGCCGAGTGTCACGCAGGTGCGTCGGAAGGCCCCCGGGGAGACCGGAGCCGGCTCGGTCACGCACGACATGGGGCAGGCATCGGGCGTTGACGCGGCTGACACGAGGCAGGAGGAAGCCGAGGCCGCTCCGGACCCAAGGGAGCCATCAGGGACGCCGTGGCGCGCGGGCGCGGAAGGGGGAGGCAGCACTGGCGGGGGGGAGGACCCGCGGCGAGTCGTCGTGGGAGCCGGCAGGGGTGAGGGCCCCGGGCGGAGACTGCGGTCGTCGCCAGCGTCCCCGTCACCTCGGGATGAAACCGCAGAGCATCACGCCCGCGGCGCATCCCAGACCCCGGTGCTCTCGCCGTCGAACGCGCCCGACGCGGACGTGGGAAGGTCCGGGACCGCAAGCACAAGCACTGGCGCGGCGGCGACTGTCTCGGGGGCGACTCCACAGAACAAGCAGGGGCCCCCAACCGCCCCTCTCGCCCCTCCTTCGGCCCCCCCGCCCCCCCTGCCGGCCGCCCTTTCATTGGCCCGGCCCGGCGACGCTGAACGAATTTCTCCGTCTATTAATGAACATTCAAGCAAGGAGGGCGAGAGGACGCGACCGCTTTCACCCGACCCGCCTCGCAGGAACGCGGTGAATAGGGAGGAGAGGGAGAAAAAAGGAGGAGAAAAACTGGACGAGGGAGAGGGCGAAGGGCAGAGGAAGCGAGCGGAGCGCGGCGATAAAGACGTCCCTAAGGCCAAAGGAAGAAAAGAAAGAAGAGGAGGAGAGCAGGGGGCGAACAAGACAAGGAAGAGAAAGAGGCGAGGGAGGGAGCCCGCGACTCCCTCCGGCTGGGGGCGGGGACAAGGCGCTGCCAGCGAGGGCGGCGGGCGCGGCGCGCGGGATGACGGGCATGACGGCCCGGCCGACGCCGACGTGGGAAGGGAGGCACGAAGGCCGCGTCAGCCCGCCCACCCGGGCCATGACTCGGCACACTTGCCAATCAGGCTCCCCGCCCCCCGCCCGTCGCCCCCCGCCCGGAGAGCCCCTGCCTGGCCCGCCGACACCGCCACCGCAGGGTCCCGACCTGTTTCTACTCCTGGGAAGCGCTTGGGAGCGAGGGACGGCGGTGGCGGCGCAGGGAGACGGCCGCTGACGCCACTTCAGCGTGCGGTGGGCCAGGACCGCCGGCGCGGCCGGGGCGCGGGAGCGGACGCCGGAGATGCGGCTGAGCCGAGGGAAGGCTTGCGGCCGCCGCAGCGCTCGCCGGCCAAAGGAGAACCAGTTTCTGTTTACCCTCCGATGTCCTGGTTGAGCAGACTCTCCGCCGGCAGAGGAGTCCCCCAGGACGCGTCGCCGGCCTCCTACCCGCCGCTCCCCACCTCCTCCCCCTCCACTCCCCAGGTGCTGGACTACCAGAAGTACCTCCAGATGAAGCAGCGGGCTCAGTTTCCCGAGCACAGGATGGCGCCCTTCGCGACCACCTCTGAGCCCGGCCAAGGTGCCCGGGACAGCCGACAGAAGCACGCGTGGTGGGGCGGCGGCGGCGGCGGCGGCCAAGGACGCGAGGCAGGCGTGGACACCCCTGCGGACGCCGGCGGAGGGGCCAGGACTCCCACGCCACAGGAAGGGAGCGCCGCGGACAGCCCGGGGGCTTCGCCTCGCAAGAGCGGCTACCAGGGCGACCTCGTGAAGTATG